GTCCGGTAGTCTCATTAACCACGATCCTCCAGAGATAAGCTTTGATTTTTGTTCGAAAAATGCTTCAAGCCGTACTGTAATCACGTGATGAAAAATTGTATTCAGTTAATATGTCCAAGTGTTATTTATGTCCTGACTATAGAATTACTTATTATTTGAACTATTTTAACCTGCTTATGATTAAGAAAACGATGGCGAAGACCTAAAATATCTATATAGAAATGGTTCCCAAAATGGGCGGATATCCGGTGCATTTCCACCTGGAAAAGTGCGCTGACGTGGAAATGACTGTGCTTCAGATGTGGTGTCATTCTACTACTTATATATTACTTCATAATGATTACATCAACGTCTTTTCTCCCTGCCCTCCAAATTCACGTCCAGATGGAGATTGGGACATACTGCTAACAGTGGTTTTGAAGTATGTTCGAGTAGAGTAGCGTGTTTCTTACTAATGTGCTTTTCCTCTTATTTTGGTGGATTCGTAATAACTGATTGCATGTATATCGTAACAGGAATAATACGCCTATACTGGCTTAATCAGACCATAAAAGCAATTTGAAAATCACACAAGATGCGTGTGAAGAAACGAACTGGAACTACGCAATTACATCATCTGAAATTAGACAAAACATGGAGTCATTTTCGTTAGATAATACTTTTTATTAATTCTGAAATTCAATTGCATCGATTACACGTGTTTTCGTGTATTTGCACTTAAATTTGAACTTGATCTCATTAAAAGTGTTCATTTACAAGATTGCGGTTTTTTATACTCAATATCTCCAGTAATTTTGATATCAACTACTTTGTTTTCTTGTTAATACGAGTGAAACGAATTATTTGGTGATCCCACCTGCTGTATATTTTGTGTCTGAAGCATGTCTGTAGCAAAAAATCGTTGTACATTTTTTATGTTAAGAATATAATGATCCGTTAACCATGTGTAATATGATCTGCCAAAATTCATACAAATAGTTAAGTTTAGCTAACATCATATCACTGTACTTCAAGATTTTTTTAATGCATGATAACTGCTGGTTATAAATATGATTTGAGGTAGCTTCTAGAAAAATGGTGCCCGATTTTGAATACTTCATATTATATCATAACGCCATGGACATATGGTACAAGTTTCCCTTTTTGTGATGGGTAAAAATGTAGATGACATTTAATCCCCACACTAGCAGGGCGTGATGTATTCTTTTTTCGTTGTACGCTTGCATGTTCGCCGAAATGGCGCATTTTAAACGTTTGATAATAAGTTTGCAAAGTTTTTAATTGAAAGTAAACTTCTAATTAGCGACATGAACGTCTTGAATAATGCCAGTCAATGAAAGAAAGCCTTGTTCAAATGTTCGTAAACACTTCCACAGCTTACAACGTAAAAATGTGATTAGTTTACAATCTTATTGCATTTGCGTTCCGTGAATGCAGTGAACTCAGGTACTTTTTATTTAATTACTATTTTTGAAGTCGTATCTCATGTCTTGGTCAGGATAATTGAAATTATGTGTATTTATTTGTCTTCTTTATTTTCTATTTTTGGGCCTATTAGCACGTTTCTTGTGGATATTTAATAAACTTTCAACTCCTATATTGTTTGATTGTTTTTTAATTTTTTGTAGGTTTCATTCAGGTTTTGTTTTTTCATCAATTTTAATAGTACCTTCCTGTTTTAGATTTGAGGCCTCTTAAAAAAACTTTTTTTAAGTACCTGTACAGTAGCCCTGGAAAATTACATTTTGAACCAGAACAAGTGAATGAGCATACCTTTCTCCCTAAAGCGAATCAATGAGTAGTTCCCATACAACATAACTTCACTTATTTTCGCCATAATTTGTGTTAAATAGATGGCATGAGGTTCTATCGTCAATTTAATTTCCATGCCTACAGAGCAGTCACGTCTCTGAAAGTTTGTCGAGATAGTCGTCATTGTTCGTTACGATGTCCTAAGTCGGATAATAAAAATCGTATATATATTCAAAACAAAAAGGATAGAAAACTTGTTGTAAAAAAATCCCTAATTTTCTCGAACTTCAACATTATTACAGTTACATTGTCACTCAATATAACAAATTTGTCATATGACGATTTTTCAAGTAAGTCTTTGATAGATTACAAGACTATTTACGAGATTACAATAATCATTTCAACGTGTTTCGACGCTTCAATAATAGCCCTCGGGTAATTACATGGTTTGCTTGACGGCGGCGTTTAAGAGTTACCGTTTATAGATTGAATAAGTTAAGCTTCCACTCGTTTACCTATCTTATATAAGACGTAGACTAAGTACAAATCACATCCGCTTTATGTCATAAATTTTTGGTTGTGTAATTATAAGTATGGAGATATTCGAAAGGAACCCAAATATGATCCAATACTATTTAACTAATTAACTGTGAGAAGGATTCCAAGTCTGTGACTTTCGAAACTCCACACCCAAGATTGCTTAATTAAAAAATTCGCTTTCATATTTTCAGAATACTGCACATCAATTATTCTACTTACCTGGGTTTACATATGTAGTTCAAGTCGTTTGCAATGTTTATATCTCGTGTTCCCTTCTTATTATTTTATATTATTTGTATTCGCTTTGCATTGGAGCTTTGAAATATATTGTGATCCAACGATTTTGAAAAAATGTACTTGAGGTTTGAAATCCAGTATGGGTTTCAGTAAGAATAAAAAATTCCTATTTTATGAAGTTTAGAAAACGCTTTTATTTTGTCTGGAATATTATTCAATAAGAATAAAGTAGCAATCCTATAACTTTGACTAATTCCATTCAGAACATAATATTCCCGTAATTGTAGGGGTTTAATGAATTGACAAGGTTTTCTTTATGATTACAGGTTCTCATAAATATTTAATTAAGTGTTGTATGTGTGTTGCAGTAATATCTGTGTATTCCCACTTTTACATCTTGAAAACTTTGTAGTCAATGTTATATGCAATCTATCATCCTTCTGAGGTTAGTACAGCCGAAACATTAATTTCCGAAAAATTAAATTATGCTAAATTCTATACGTTTTGAGCTGTTCTCTTGACTTTGCTGACTTCATGACGTATACGTCGCCATCGCTCTTATGAATTATTTGATTATTCCTCGAAACCTCTTAGTATTTTATTGGTCCTCGACAAGACTTCACATCTGAATGAGGAGTTGCGATGGTTATTTTTAATTATCATTATTTCGATTGCATTCAGTAATGAAATGAATATAGCAGTTCAGCAATGCGATTTTCTCTTTGTATTGGGAAAAGACTATATATATACTATACCGTGATACTAATGTATTTGTTCATTTTAATCAAAAACAATTTTAATATAAATATTTAAATAAATCAACGTAATAGTGCAAAACTCATCATCATATTCAAAAGTTCAGCGGATCTTAAAATAGGTTGTTTTGTTTTTATGAAATTCATCATCTTTTATTAAACTGTAAACAGAGGTCTTAAAAGTGGCCCCGATCTCAAATGTCCCGTATAAAAACTAATTTTGTATGATATAATATAAACGCAAAATATGGGTTACTCAAAATAAGCAAAATCGTGAACATAAAATAATAATCACATTGTCTCACAAATGAAGTAATGTCTTATTAATCTGTATTAGATTAAACTTGCGTTGGTGTAATCTGGCATCTGCCACTCTAGAACCTGTGGATTTACCGAGGATTTACTTGGGACGCTACACGTTGTACGTGGATTGGTGTATTATTGTTTACAAGATCAGCTTTCCAGAAAATAATTCAACAAATATAGCTAGTCGCGGGTTTGTACCTCAATCCGAATTAGTATTTCTGGTGCATTTTTTTCGTGGCAAATTCCGATTCGCGTGGCGCGTAATCCACGGATAACAGAAGCACGTAATTCTAAAATAAGTCACTTATATACAAGAAAATAAGGTTTTGCATCGGAGAAAGTACGACGCAAGCTTCAGTAGTAGGAAGAACTAACCACAGAATATTTATTCCTGGATAATAAATATTAGCTTCATACCTCACAATTCACTAAGAATTAAGATACTGCCGCAAGTTCCAAAATTAATTGCTAAAAAGTTTTCAATATTGCAACGTGGCAGATAAATGATGTAGTCTGTTTTTGAGCCTGCAGAAAACTCGTGCAATATTTCGATTTTGGAGTGGAGTATAACTGTCGCCAATCATTGGGATGATATCAAGTTCATTCAATATGTTATGCAATATTCAAATTTTATTGACATTCAGATATTTACTCAGATATTGTCATCAGGTCATGGCTAATAAATATTTGCTCTAACGCTCAGATATTTACCGTCAATAACAAATTTTGTTAGCCTATTATTGTCTGCGTTCCAGGTGTTTTATTGGTGTTCAGTGTTTATTACATGTTGTCGCATATCGCAAAAGAATGCTATTAGACGTTGTGGCTATTACCAAATCGCTCTATACATCAATTTCTTGACAACCGATACGAATACAGCCGTGAAATTGAATCTTATCTATCTAAGCCTATACCACAAGTCGTGTCAAGTTTTGCAATAGCTTGAATTCCACTGATCGCAGCCTCGTGATAGTATTGCAGGATTTTCATGACAAAGTTGCCAGAATATTTATAGAGTATAAGGCATTGTTTGATTTCACCGAGATTTTTTACTTTAATCAAACTGGATCAAAGCCATTTAACTGGGAATAAATCATGTAGCTGTTCCAAACCTCCAAAATCTACTCGTGGTTTCTAGTTCTGTATGCATTACAATTTTGATCACATCATCAAAGGCAAGTTCAAACCGAAAAATTCTGTGAAAGTGGAAAGACATGAGAATGCTACTTATTCGTTTTGTTACCTGGGTTGGGTGGTTAGTTAATTACTGGGCTAATATTTAAATCGTAGATTTACTTCAGCTATCTCAAGGAATGCCGAAAGTCACTTCGACATCCACCCGATAAAAACACTAGATTTTATTCGAATCCATTTTTATTATCGATATATATATATATATCAAAAATGCAGAAATATATGAAGCAATACTAACGGTATAAAAATAAATATTCATAAGTAATTCTAAACTATTTTAAAATAGTAAATAAAATAATAAAGATAAATTTGCAATAGTAAATCTTAATCCCGAAATAACAGAAATCATGCGTATTCGGTTAATTTGAAAACAAAGTTTGCTGTTCATTTTTGAAGTGCTAAATTCTCAAGCTTTTATTTTGTTTTTCCATTTTTGTTAATAATTCAAACGTATCCCTATTTTTGTAACAGCAAAATCAAATTTCTGTTTTAAGTAGTCAAGATTAGATAAAAAAACGGATTGGCAAATATATTGAGCATCTTGTTATTTAGCTTATGAATTTGTATCTGATAAACGAACAACGTATAGTACTTTCCGTTACCTTTCAAAATATAATATAACAGCGTGCTAGATACAATTTTAGCATTGAGTCTGAAAATACACTCTCCTGTAGAGCAGTCACATACAAATATATGTAGGATGATATACAAATAATATTCTCTGATAATATTCGCACAAAAAAAGTTGTTACAGTAATTTATAGTGCAAAACTAATATTTGAGTTCTGAAATATCAGTAAGCGTTATGAAAGTTACGGGGAATTTGATTGCAAATTTGTTAGAATATAAACCAATCTCAGTCTCGTTTGAGATTGTCCGGGCATATTTGTTCACTCATTCGCCACAGAATAATAAATCTGGCAACTACCCCAGCTACTTAGTAGTATCGGCCTAGTAACCGACTGCCAGCTTGGCAGACCCGGTAAACCTATGGTACTCTCTTCGTTTGGTGAAGCTTCACCAAAGAGCAACGTTTTTTCTGTAAAAGTGAGTTCCGCTAATTTTATCTATTGTGCGTGGTGTGCTTGGTTTTTTGTATTCTTCTTCAAAGTGTCCCTTTTTGGTTCCCCATTTCTTATTGACAACCGCCACAATGGGGTTGTTAACAAATAGGTTTGGGTTTATAATGTGAAGCTGGTTGTAACTGATGTCTACGTGAGAAAGCTTGGGATTTCTGTCAAACAATCTTGACGGTAAGTTTGTAATCAAATTGCGATCTAATGTTAGCGTGCGAAGTTCTCGACAGTTATCGAACAGATCTGCCGGTAGGTTTCTGAGTTTGTTTCCACTGAGAGATAGCTCCCTCAGGTTTCTTGTGTTACGGAAAAGCATCTTTGGTACTACCGAGATACGATTATGCGACAAACCAACCTCACGCAGGAACGGGTTCATAGAAAATAAACCTTGCGGAATATCAGGCAACGAATTTCCGGTAAAACGAACGACTTCCAGCCGACGGTTTCTGCGGAACACTTCCTTGGGCAGGAGGGTGATATTGTTTCGCTCAAAGTTGACAATAATCAGACGTGGATTCCAGAAAAACAATCTTGGTGGTAGAAAATCTAACTTGTTTCCAACAAATGATACTGAAGTCAGTTGTTTGTTTGTAAAGAAAAGACTTTCAGGAATGTCAAGCAAAAAATTCATGTCAAAATTTACAGAACGAAGACATACATTTTTTTGAAAAGTCTTGGGGGATAGCAGTAGATAATTGTTCCTTGCAAAGTTCACAGCTACAACGTCTTTCAGATGTGCCATCGTTTCAGCAAGCTCTGCTTTGTCAGAAAACGAGTTCCTGGGAAGGTGTAGTAATTCTGTGTCGCCCGGTATTATTCCGATTTGTTTCAAACACTTCATACGTTTCGATTTGCATAGAAGTCCACGAAAAGTTGCTAACCTGAGTGGCATTTCAAATTCGGTGTCTTTCTTCCATTTACATGAACCAATATTTCTGTGGTCAGGCGTGTCACAAGCAGGCTCATTTACCCATCCGCGTGGACATTTGCCTTCGGTATTTGTCCGAATAACGTCATCAACTCGCGGGCAAGTTAAAATCTGGCTTTGAGTTATAGGATGTAGCTGTCTCGGATGAAAATATTCGTCGTCAGATGATGAAATCCCGCCATTTTGGTGATTGCTTACTGAACCGTGTGGGGATAACTCGGGTTGTGGCTGTGGTGGTTGGGCCATACTTCCACCCATTCGCAAGGTAACAAAGCATGTTGCATATTGGATTCCACATAAGAATAATAAGAAAATGGCTGAGTTGCTGCTCATAGTTGACATTGTGATAACAATGTTATTATCATCACACTATATAACTATTTCAAAAATAAAAAATAAATTGCATGTTAGTTAAAATGTTAATAATAAATTGCATGTTATTATTAAATAATTTTAAACATTCGCCTTCCAAGGAATGAGATAGCGCAATTTAAAATTTTGTAATTTCATAAACTTTACAGAAATAATTTAACCAAAACTTATTAAATAATTTTAAACATTCGCCTTCCAAGGAATGAGATAGCGCAATTTAAAATTTTGTAATTTCATAAACTTTACAGAAATAATTTAACCAAAACAACAAACCTTAATTTTCATTTTTTCCTCAAGGTTAAGGCAAAAATGCATGAACTGATCATAATGTTGTTTTGCTATTATCGTATTTCTCAAATAACTTAACAGTGACTTTACACGTTACTCACTGTGAGCACTAACCCGTCTCACAAGTCGCCACTCACCGACTGACTCACATAGACTGACAACGTATTGGCAGACACACGTCCTTTTTAAAGCGAGTAAAATAAGTAAACAGTATCGTCAAAAGTTGTTTTTATGTCTGTAAAATGAGAGAAAAAATCGTCGACAGACGTTCAAAACTAATATGGTATTTCAATCCCGATTGTTATCACTTTTACACTGATGAAACTGGAGAATCGAGTTTAATAATATCAGATATAAAGAATGCTAGAATAAAATTTCAGATATTTAACTCCTATTCATCGGTTGTTGCTTTTAAAATATATAGTAGTAGATACATAGCACAAAATGTTTGTGCATCAGTTGGAAATAATTTTTATTTTCGAAAATTGAATGTTTGATTTTAGCTCAACTGATTATAGTCCCGTGGACATTTATTAGCTGCATAATATCCATTTGGATTTTTCCACGATAATAAACCCGATGATGACCATTCATATTTCCGTTCCAACGTAACTTGAAAGATCTCTTAAAAATATCAGTTTACCACAATTCTCCTTTGTATTAGAAACATCCATTCACTATTGTACTGATTACGCTATTCCGAACCATTGAAGATATTGTAAAATTCGTGCTTGCGCTGAATACACACATAACCATAATTTTAAGAGGCAATTAGCCAGGCGTGTGCGCGATATTTTCTCGGAAATTCTTTAATTCACATTTAAAATTCAATTAGCATTGTCTCACTAACGGAACTGGCTGAATTAATCTATATATTTTGTGCAGTTTAATGAAAATTAGGTTCTATCCAATGTGGGAAAACTGACCCAGGCGGTAGCGCTTTCTTTTAACTTAGCTTGTAAGCTGCTTCGTTCCCTTCAATTATTCTGATATTTAAGCCGGCCGTGACTTATGACTGCTAATTACTGCGCGGCCTGGATTTTTAATATAGAGCCAAGGTGGTAATGGCCACTTGTCCTGTACCACATATGTGCGCTATTGAAAATATAGATAAAGTTACCTTGAATTTGAAATTACGCTGCTAATTGCCCTTGTCCAGGATTCGTTGTTTTCTCCTTACTATAGTATAGTACTATAGTAATTTTCGGAACTCACAATGAATGACCAAATCGATCGCATCATTTGAAAAAAACTACTAATCACAGAAATGTAAATAAATACCATGATATTATGTTGAAATTTTCAAAACTTTCAAATGTGATAATCTGATAGTGCAGTGAGCTGATCGGATCATCAAGTTTTTTTCTCATTTATTTTAAATTTATCGCTCGACCAAGAAAACAAAACTTCTCAATCCAATAAATCGGTATTTGAATAGATCAAACAAGAAATACGTCTGTGCCAATGTTAAATTTTCTATACTCAATGCAAAAAATGAACACAAATATCTTCGTAAACGAATACGCTGGCCTTAAAATTCAAACATATTTGAAAGTATTATTTCACTACAATTATTGAGACTCTTTTAGTTATCAATAGATCAATTATTACACTTTGAACAAAAAGTATAACTTTGACCGGCTTTTAATGGTATCTATTTCATATGCTGAGAGTGGTTAAACAGCAACATTAAATTTTGCTGAATTGATTTATAACAACACCAGAGTGAATTTCTCAAATTCAAACAGTATACCCATGTCATTGTAGTTCAATCAAGAATAAATGAACGGTAAACTATTTTTTATGAGCATGCTCCATTTAATATAGCTAGGGGCCAAAAACTATTATTAGATTTGGGTTATAGATTATTTATGTTTTTATCTATAGACAAAAGAATTATTTATTTATATTTATTTTAACTATTCAAAAATAAAAAATTAAGCCCTTTGAACCAATGACGAAGCAAATTTGTATACAAAAATAAATTCGTATAATGTAGAATAGCTGGTTAAAGCTATCGAATTTATGCCCAATTTCTAATCAAATATCCAAGGCCCGTTAAGTTGGGTAGTTTAAACAAAAAGATTCCGAATGTACAAAACATTAATAATACTATCTGTGATTCATAGCATAATTCGGACCGAAAGAGTTTGAAAACATTTCCAACAACTATTTTATATATGCATACGCGTTCGCCGAGTGCAATAACAATGTACACAAACGATTTTCCAAAGTGCAACTTCCAACTATGATGACACTGTGTACATGGGATCCTGAAGCCAAAACATATTCTTGTAAAATAAATCTATGAAAGCTTTATACACATAATATGCCATTGCATTTGATTTTTTTCTTATTCCAAGTATCGTATATGTGTTTTTTTAAACACATATACAGAGTTCTGTGAAACACTCAGCTGTTAACTGTTTTATTTTTGTCTTATTTCAGAAATAAGTTCTACAATTCTTTAATTTCTACATTCCTTGTTTACAAAAAATCTGTATATATGCCATTTCTGATAATTGCATCAGCATTATATTGTCTTGCATTTCCGTTGTTAATGGTTTTTAGGCGATACGGCAATTTTTGATTTCCTGGTATGCGTCAAACTTTCGATTAAATACTTTCGATAGCATTTTATCTATAATATATATATCCGTCTATCAATCAAATTGTTATGGTATCCGATAAAACAACATTAATGTTTTTAATAGTTGTTTTATGTGCTGCTGAAAATAAGTCGGAAATAAACTGGAATTTATCGGTCAGTAAACTGCTGTGATACCTTAACAACCGTAATGTCCAACTATGTGTGCTTGACAAACATAGGATGCAAATGCATGCAAAAAAAGTTTTTGAATTTGACGATTAGATTCATGGTGATGGACAAATATATACATTGGAGAATCACGTACACGCGTAATAAAGTCTGGCAGCGCTAGGACATACTTTGCGAATGCAAATTTAGGAAAAATTACTAAGTGAAACAAATATAATATATATATAAACTTTTTTATTTTGCTTTTTTGTTTATCAATTTATATAATCAGTTGTGCGTCATCTTTTGATTCAGGCAATTGAGCAGTGGCTGCCGGAAAACTACTTCTAGAATGGCTGAGGGCCCAGTTTCAGAAAGACTGCTTTAGAGTTTTAATTTACAACGATACTGTTTAGCTGGTCTGGGAAAAACCGACTCCAATTCGTGTTCTGTTTTGAAAGTTTGAGTCAAGACAAAGACTATACGCTTTAGGAGTCAACGGGAAAAATATTGATAGTTCAGTACATGAACTGATTGTATTGGATAATCAATTCCTTTCTAACGTTCTCGTTGGCATATAGCCTAAACAAAATCCGTTTTACCATGAAATGAGTAACACAATGGCATAATACAATTATTGTCTCGTTACTTACCCATCAGCAATTGGACTGATGCAGTGTTTTATTGAACATCATCATAAGATTCGAGCTTTTACTGAATTTGTCTCGATAGATTGGCGTTCATTATTTTTTCGATTAGGCACAAACCCGATTTAGACGTAGTAAGCGGGCTTAAAATTTTGATTCAAAGTTTAGTCAATCATGTCTCGACGAACTCGAGTATAATCTTTGTTGTTTTTTGTATATTTTGCCAATAATGACGCGATATTGAGAAGGCCACATTTGGATTATTCCACAAAATCCATTCTGTTTGAATAACTTCAGTATTATAAATTTACATTTGGTATCAAAAAGGTGCTTTTTCGTTAATATGTTGATACCTCCAGATTTCCCTATTATATATAATAGATTCAGCTGTAATTACGGTTCCTAAGTTTTAAGAACAATTTTCCCGAAATTATGTTCAAAAACTTCCTCCATTTCTTCTGCCAAAACATGTTTGATAACTGGTACAAACCATATACAACAATGGCCTTTGACCTAACTTTATTAATAAATTTAAATTATATATTTTATTTCAGAACTATTTGTGGTTAAATGCGTGAGTTGTTCTAGATATGGTGAGAGGGTCATTAAATTTGGTGTTATCTCTTAAAAAGAGAATGAACTAATTGTAAATTAACATTTTATTTTTTTTCCTATTTTGAACATGTCTATGGTGCCAATCCGACGTTTTAAGCCATAACATTTCAATATAAACTTAACAATCAATGATATGATCATAACAAAAAGATTAGCTATAAGTTTAATAAAGTATAAACCATATTTGACTTACCGAACAATGGATGATGACGTTTGGTCGTTTGGGTCACATTACTGAAAATAACAAAAACGATAAATTGATTTGCTCAATGCTTAAAAATAGATAATCCATTTGAGAGTGTGTAATATTTTGACACTCTCAATCAGACATGATAAGAAATGGTTCTCTCTACCTCAATTCCAAAATAACGATTCCAACTCGGGTAGAAACGTTGAAGGGGATTCTAACGTTTCTCGCTCAAACTGCATGGATGGAAGCGACCCCGCTGAATTCTTGTAATATAGAATATAATTAAATTAAAATGTGCATGTTAATTATCGATATGAAGAGTGCTCTTTCCCAGAGAAATAAATGCTTTACCTGTGCATAATATAAGTTTGATTGAAGTTCTATTTCTTCTAACATAATCTTATTCGCTTCGTGATATGTAGTTTTTTACATTAATATCAACAATATTAATACGATGTTCTTCTCCTTTTAGATGTTTTTAACAATGTTGTTTTTCGGAGGTGATCCATTTTTAGGAATGTAATACC